GTGTACCCATGTGGGGAATCGAAACTTGGTCTTTGGCGCGATGACTAAACGCTTTACCCACAAGGCTACTGCCGTCTCAATGGATATGAAATACCGACAGACTTTTAAAGTTTTGGTTTCAAAATACGCAGTAAACTACGGTTATAACGAACTACGGTTATAACGAACTCTCAGGGGCCACTAATTCGTGCGTTGTTCGATATACGCATATATACGGAATATGTACACCAAATGTCCGCGACCCCAAAATAAATTCGTTATATCCGTCAGTTCGTTGTAAGCGTGTTCGTTATAAACATATTATACTGCATGTCCAGGTGCTCAGTCACTGGATTGTCTGGTCAAGACTCGATTGTTTACATGTGAGCGAATAGCGGGTTCTACCGGTAGGGCAGGACATAATTATCCTTTCTCGCGAACACCTGGTGTCATCACTGATTCATTCATATAACTTGTTCTGTTTCATCTGTTTTGGAAAAGGGGGCATGGGTGGCCAAGTCGTCTAAGGCGCCGCGATTTGCTGTGCAGAGTTGCGTCCCTTGGGCACGCCAGAAACTATGATTGTGGGTTCGAATCCCGGTTCGCCCCGATTCTGTTTCTAGGTTTGTCAGCATCACATCCATGCTCGTGGGTTTCACCGAAGTGGTAAACGTCTGAGACCTGCATCACTTCGGGCTTTGCTCCAACATTAAGCTGACACGCCGTGATATAACTGGAATACTGTTAAAAGCGGCGTTAAACCAAACTCACTCGCTCACTCACTAACTTATTGCACACATGGACTACGGGAACGCGGGACTACAGCGGGACAACCCTAAAGCTTAAAAAACAAGACTACTCTACTGCACCTCCATGTAAAAAATTGTTAGGGTTTTACAGAAGCCTTGCTAAGCCATAAAGGATAGGGCAGTCTTGTTCTTGAAGCATTCCCTTTGCACAACAATGGTACATGTTCGATGCCACATTTTGCTGCAATTTTGGAATAACAGTCCAGTGTAGAATAACGCTCAATTATGCCGGGAGAAACCACTGCATTGGAGTGGTGTATGTTCTACACCACTCAAAGAAAGATAGGGGCGGTCGGGTAGCCTAGTGGTTAAAGCGTTCGCTCGTCACGCCGAAGACCCGGGTTCGATTCCCGACATGGGTACAATGTGTGAAGCCCATTTCTGGTGTCCCCCGCCGTGATATTGCTGGAATATTGCTAAAAGCGGCGTAAAACCAAACTCACTCACTCACTCAAAGAAAGATACGTTAACACTGTGCTAAGACATAAGGTTAGTCAGTTAACCTATGACTTATGTGGACTAGGGATTAAGGACACGGCATAATGTTTATGTGGAAGTAAATGTGAATTGCATATCATTTTTACTTTGAATGTGACTTGTTTAATGAAGAAGCAGAAATTATACTTAGAAACATAAGCAGTGTAGCCGAAGATACACCAACTCATCTCAATTTGATATTCAGTGGAATTGGGGATTTACCAGGACAAGATAACATATAAATATTCAATTGTGTACATATGTGTTATATACGTAATACTAAGAGAATTATGGAAACTATATTGTTCTCACTCGTCACTTATCTTTTATAGTCTTTTCTTTCCTCCTATTCCGTTCACGATTAGTACGGGGCGGACGGGTAGCCTAGTGGTTAAAGAGTTCGCTCGTCACGCCGAAGACCCGGGTTCGAATCCCGACATGGGTACAATGTGTGAAGCCCATTTCTGGTGTCCCCCGCCGTGATATTGCTGGAATATTGCTAAAAGCGGCGTAAAACTAAACTCACTCACTCACTCATGTTTAGTACAAGCTGTAAATCAATATCTAGGAGAAAGTGTCCTAGGTGAATTTGTTCCCAATCCCATTCACATTTTGTGAATAAAATATGTTTAAATCAAATCAAAGTTAAGGATCATCCGAATCTTTCTCATTACTATAGGTAGTCTGGCATGACATAACAGATGAGTGAGTATGGTTTTACGCCGCTTTTAGCAATATTCCAGCAATATCACGGCGGGGGACACCAGATATGGGCTTCACACATTGTGACCATGTCGGGAATTGAACCCGGGTCTATGGCGTGACGAGCGGTCGCTTTAACCACTAGGCTACCCGACCGCCCCCATTACAGATAAACTTTCAAATACCAGTAATTTGGGTTAACATATGAAAATCATTTGTGTTTTCGATGTGGTGATGTCAGATGCAATTCCCTGTTTAGAGTTGTAGCATATGTTCACATGTTTTGTCATATGTACTGATGACTTGCCTTTGCATGTGTTTGTAACGGGTGCCACCGGCGAGGCAGGATACGGGCACCTGGTGTTATCACTATTTGAAATAGCTTCATAAGCACTTTGTTATTGTGTAGTCGGGGTCGTACAATAGATCCAGCGTTTAGAAGAGATTTTAAATGTTTATGGAAATGGTATTTGTCGCTTATATTGAAAAAGAGTGAGTGAGCGAGTGAGTTGGGTTTAACGCCGCTTTTAACAGTATCCCAGTCATATCACGGCGTGTCAGCTTAATGTGGGAGGAAAGCCCGAAGTGATGCAGGTCTCAGACGTTTACCACTTCGGTGAAACCAACGAGCATGGGTATGGTGCTGACAAACCTAGAAACATGATCGGAGCGAACCGGGATTCTATTGAAAAAGAGTTCTGTGGCACGGAATGTTACAACATGGTATGAGCTTCATGAGTGTGGTATGTAAACGTGCGTAGTGTGCAACAATACATAGTCCCCAGAGGGGATTCCGGGCTAGAACGGATCCCAGATCACCTAACTGTGCCTGAAGTGGCGACATAGTGGATCGGTGCTCATTATATCAACCACTGGTTTGCCAAGCCCAGACACGATTACACACCATGATATAGACTGAATATTGTTGAGAGCGATCTTCAGCAGCAATCAAACTTGTTCAGCTAAGATATAGAGAGTGAGTTAATATTTAAAGTCACATCGGCATTGTCAGCTAAGATATAAAAACATGTCATATCCATGACCCACAAATCTTGACCTTGGAAAGAGATCAGAACGCCACACGTAGCATTTGATTGACCAAAAGGAAAACTCGATTGAAATCATTAATGCCCCAAAGCCTGACACGTTTACACACTCCCGGTGCAGAGAGAAATAAACACCCGCGGAATTGTATCCACGCGGAACTATTACACTGGGGAACAATTGGCCTTTCATTTACATCGTTATTTGGCCAATTTGACTAAATGTGGTATCCTCTGTATTTTCTACGATTCCTAACGTGTCATCTCGACCTCGTTTAATTCTTTAAGCAAATATAATGTTGACAAAGTAGCCACTGGCCTCATCTAAGTGATGGAGCGGTTTGGCGTGGACTTAAGATGTTTGCTTGTGAGGCATTTCTTTATATTTCGGGAAGCTCCTGTTTTGATCCGGGAAAGCTTGTTACAATATGTAATGATGACAGACTATTGATCAAATAACGAATTGTTTCGGCTTCCTGCTTTTATTGTATGTACAGGTAAAGGTCATGGCCTTTATGGGTATTGCTGTTTAACCTTCAAGAAGGTCAAAGACAAACGCGAGGTCATCTGCAGCATTACTTACTCTCATTGTAGCATTCTTCGGAGTGTTTCCCTTGAACGTAATGTGGGGTGAAATGGTGTTCAACGTCACGTACAAGATTATTGCACAAGCACGATGCTAGATCTGTGGTTTGCTACTGCTAACTACTGCTAACTACTGCTATCTACTGCTAACTTGAATACCCCACCGAGACACAGTATTCTGACTTCGAGCCGACCATTCTTTGTTTTAGCCTCATGTCGAGCGCCAGTCAGGGTAACAACAAGTACTAACTTTTAACGTCGTTTGCTATGACGTGACCAGGGGAAAGAACCACGACCTTACACTGTCCGGGCAGACGCTTTACCCACTACGCCACGGATGCGGTTCATTTCCCTTGAAAGAAACTTAAGTGCTAGACTCAATACCCGTTCATATTTGTCATGGTTTATCTACAATAAGGATTGCTATTACAATCCTGATTCCAAAATGGTCATCAAGTGACAGAGTCCGCATGGCCATTTTCTGAACAATATCGAAAGGTGGTGAGGTGAAATTGGGTTTAACGTCGCGTCCAATATTATTGCACTTATATAGCGACGTGCATGCACGTGTGTGTGTGTGTGTGTGTGTGTGGCTACTTGTACTAGTCCGGACTGATGCCGATTTATAGTGCTAGCTCACTGAGATACCATGCCGCAGTTTAACATGCATACCCCACGCAGACACAGTATACTGACTCCGAGCCGACCAGTCCTTATTTTAGCCCCTTAATGTCGAGGGCCAGACAGGGTTACAACAAGTACCATCTTTTAACGTCTTTTGGTATGACGCGACCGGGGATCGAACCCCGGACCTTCCGCTCTCAGGGCGGACGCTCTACCACTAGACCACGGAGGCGGTCGACTCGGACAAAGGATGCGGAGAGGGAGTACTAAGTTGGATAACTTGTTCCCAACTCATTTCAAGCTGAATAGAATATGTTTTAACCAGAAAGGATGCGGCTTTTTGCTTCGAAGCGAGTTATAAGTGATTTATTCTGCCTCTCAGGAATCCACGTGCAACCTGTCTTGCTCGTGGCGGGGTATAAGGAATTTCTTCTCCTGCTGAGAAATTTATTTCCAACTCTGCACAGCGAATCGCGGCGCCTTAGACGCCTGGGCCACCCGTGCCCCCTTTTAAATGAACGAATGCATAATTTTATTCTACCTCCATGTCAGAATGTTGATCTAACTGGTCCACGAGATCTTCATAAAATACTATGTAGCCAGCCTTATTTGGAAATAAATTTCTCAGCAGGAGAAGAAATCCCTTATATCCCGCCACGAGCAAGACAGGTTTCACGTGCACAGCGAATCGCGGCGGCTTAGACGACTGGGCCACCCGTGCCACCTGGAAATAAGTTCAACAAATATTTCAGAATCATGTTTCTTTGTTTTTACTTTACAGCAACTGTGGAACAGATTTGGGGGCACGTGCGGTGTTTGTGGAGATCCATGGGACCCCGTTCCACGTGCTCACGAGAGGGGAGGAAGATATTACAGTGGTACCCCAACGCGGGAATACAATGAAGGTGATGTCATCGAAGTGACCACTGACGTCACAGCCAATCACAGAGGTTGGTACGAATTCAGACTCTGTCCCTACGATGACCCGGATGAAGATGATATAGAGACGGATGGCAACGGTAACTTCCGGGAGGTTTCTCACGCATGCCTAGACAAGCACATCCTAGAGACGGAGGAAGGGGAGACAAGGTGGTACCTCCCGGAGCCGTACAAGATAGGGACGTACACCGTGAAGGTCAAACTTCCATGGGGGATTAGCTGCCGGAACTGTCTGTTTCAATGGAAGTGGAACGTTGGTAAGGCAATGGACATATGCATCGAATGTTATTTAGCTCGGTGTCTCGAAGGTGCAAGAGTGAGTGAGTATGTTTTTACGCCGCTGTTAGCAATATTCAAGCAACATGAAGGCGCCCCCGCCGTGATATTGCTGGAATATTGCTAAAAGCGGCGTAAATCCATACTCACTCACTCACTCACTCATCTGTTATGTCATGCTAGACTACCTATAGTAAAGATTTAACTTTGATTTGATTTAAACATATTTTATTCACAAAAAGTGAATGGGATTGGGAACAAATTCTCCAACTAGGACACTTTCTCCTAGATATTGAATTACAGCTTGTACTAAACATGAGTGAGTGAGTGAGTTTGGTTTTACGCCGCTTTTAGCAATATTCCAGCAATATCACGGCGGGGGACACCAGAAATGGGCTCCAAACATTCCACACATGTCGGGAATCGAGCCCGGGTCTTCTGCATCACAAACGAATGCTTTAACCACTAGGCTACCCCACCGCCCCGTACGGTGCAAAAATATTTCAATCATTGTGGGGAAACATGTGACTTAGTGGTCTTTTTATCGTTTAGCACCGCACTCATCAACTATATGGTACCGGCCAGTAAATGAATGAGACTGGGCATGATAAACCAATGATTGATATTATGAACAACGATTCACGACGTCGGGGTTAGTTGATAAAGTCATAGGGCCTGACCAAGCGATCCATTAAATATTCCCGAACGACAAGCGTACCTTTTACCCTCTCACTTCATAATATAGTCAGCTATATTAAAAGGAACTGGGGACTAGCCAATGCATAAAAATTCGCGTCCAAGATTATTGCACTTATATAGCGACGTGCATGCATGTGTGTGTGTGTGTGTGTGTGTGTGTGTGTGTGTGTGTGTGTGTGTGACTGCTTGTACTAGTCCGGACGGAAGCTGATTTATAGTGCTAGCCCACTGAGATACCATGCCACAGTTTAACATGAATACTCCACTCAGACACAGTCTACTGACTCCGTGCCGACCAATCCTTGTTTTAGCCCCTTAGTGTAGAGCGCCAGACAGGGTAACAACAAGTGCCATCTTTTGACGTCTTTAGGTATGACGCGGCCGGGGTTCGAACCCCGGACCTTCCTCTCTCCGGGTGGACGCTGGACCACTAGACCACGGAGGCGGTCATTAACCATTTGGCTAGTCCACATCACCCTAAGATTATATTAAGAAATGGAGCGTCTTGAGCAAGTGGCTGGAAATCACGAATATGGAAAACGGATACGAACGTTAGATTTCGCTATAATTAATTTATTAATCATTCGTGACGAGAGCTTATGACATGTTTCACTGACGTAACATTACTATTTTTCAATTCAGCTAACAGTTGGGGCCAGGATCCAGACGGAACATCCTGTATTGGGTGTGGGAAACAGGAACAGTTCTACGCCTGTTCTGACATCTCCATCAACCCTGGTAACGGAGGACCTGGTTGGCCAGAGGAACCTTTCTACCCAGATGCCCCGGAACCTCCTGTCGAGACACCAGAGCCGCCGTACGAGCCTCCTTTCGAACCTCCAGTCCAACCGCCTCAACCTCCTTTCGAACCTCCACAACCTCCCTTCGAACCTCCAACGCCCCCTTCATATCCTCCAGAACCACCTCAGTTCCCAAGACATCCTCTTTTCCCTCCTCAGCATCCTCCCCAGTTTCCGCCTCAACCTCCATTCTTTCCCCAACAACCCCCACAACACCCAATCCTCCCTCCCCAACCACCATTCTACCCGGAGGCACCTCAACCACCTCTGTTCCCCCCATTCCCACCCCAACCCCGACCTCCAATCCAGCCAATCCCACGCTTCCCGGTCTACCCCCGAACAACCCCCAAGCCACTGGGATTTCCCGACGGCGAGGTGCCGGAACGTGCCACCTGGCCTACCCCTTTGTCCACCCCCCGTCCAACAGAAGCCACCCTGCCCACCAGACCCGTCACCACACCCGAACCGAAGACAAAGAAGCCAGTCAACTTCTGGAAATGGTTGTCGAAGCACCGCACCAACATCACCCGAGTCACCGTCACCCCTCTCCCCTCTGTCAAGAAGCTGCCTCCAAAGATGTTGCCGTGGTGGGTGCGAGCACCTGCGGACAGTCTTGCCGCTGGATTATGGAAGGTCTTCAGCAAGATCAACGACAGCTCTATAGATGACAGCGACACAAGCAACAGGTTTGTTACAAAGAAATCGGGACAATCTGCTCCTACAACCACTACAACCACAACTACAACAACCACTCCTTTACCTACGACAACAACTACAGCAACAACAACTACGACTACTACAACGGTCCCCTCAACAACGTTAACGCCAACCCAGACATCAGAAACATTCCCCTGGTGGATATACTTCGGAAGAAGGGACCGACCTTTCTCCCATCTTCCATACTGGCTTGGGGGAGATCCGGACCCCCTACCCTACCACCCTGATGACATTCTGCCTCCTGAATCCCCTTTTGACTCTAAAGATGGCGACTATGGAGCATTTGGTGCAGATAAGCCAATCAACGCAGCAGCAGGAGCAGGGGGACCTAACTTCATCCCCAACATTAATCCCAACCGAGGGGAGGTCCCCATCGAAAGGATGTGCACCCCTGTGGGTGTGTGGATTGAGAGACCAGATATGTGGGAGTGGTGTAGCCTCAACTGCGCTGTCGGTAATTGTCCAGAATCTCACTGTATGTGCTCGGACGCACCACAGAAGTAGTTGCCCCGTGAACGAGAATGAAAGAGAATAATACCCTGTACATGTGCGCATGAATCAAACGTTGTACCATATAGAGTTTATCATAAATAATGTCTTAGAGGTTCGTAGAAGACGTCTCACATAGTATATATATATTCTCCGTTGGGATGAAGAAGAGTACATCTTATTCTTGCATGGTTGCTGCTCAAGGCCTTCGGGGAGTAAGGTAAGGTGCAGTGAGCTGATTTGATGCAAGTCACATACTCAAGAAGGACCAGAAGATACATTCTAGGAGGACTAAAGATCCCCAATGGTTGAAGAAGGTTTACATGTAGCGAAAATGCTTTGGATTGATCAAGATGATTTGATAATACAAGTTTGTATAAGGCACAACACAAGGTGGCTTTAGTTTGTGAACTCGAACGGGTTGCAATTATTTGGATATGACAAATATTTTGAATGCTGGATTGAAGGTCACTTCAATTATGAAAGGGGTAAGTGGGTTTGAATGATGATCAACGATTGTTGATGAACATTTTAACATGGGTCATTCTCATGCCAGTACAAACATATGTCCGAATCAGTCCAACCGATGCGGCGGTCGGGCAGCCTAGTGGTTAAAGCGTTCGCTCTTCACGCCGAAGATCGGGTTCGATTCCCATTTCTGGTGTCCCCGCCGTGATATTGCTGGAATATTGCTAAAAGCGGCGTAAAGCCATACTCACTCACGCACTCAGTCCAACCGATACCCAGAGGTCAATACCGTTGTCAGTTCATCAACACGTCACAGTTGAACAAATCCTCATTAGCCATATGTGGGAATAATGACTTTCTTGTGGCAAATTCATAAGAGCAGAGAACTGACCAACCATGAAAGAGCGTTTCATCTGTTGTACAATTCTTGACATTCCTGAAAATACGTACTTCAGACAATCAATCTTTTGGAAGCCGTTGTTTACGTCTAGTTATGCCCGGCTTCCGTTGATGCCCTGGATCCCGGATTGTAAAGGTTCCACTGTAGTGTAGCGTCATCGTTTTTTTACATGTACATTTGACCAACACAATGTACATTATGAACAGCTAAACTATACCACTGAAAGTCCAGTGTTGACTTGTAATACATTATATTGTATATTATCACATGTTTGGTACATGCAGCATGTTCGATGTGTAATATGTACTGATTTATATGGTGTATATGTTCGCCTTTGGACATGACTTAAACAAGTAAGGCACTATTCTTGAGGGCCGCCATGACATTCTGTATCATTCTTAACGAGTCACTGAGCCGTTGCTATGCTCTCTCATTGCAATACAAATCATTCTATACGGGCAATGATAATCTCGCTAAATTCTTTTAGCAGATGTTTTTGGGGAAGTTGGTCCATGTTTTAATTGATGATTGCTTGAGAAACGTATGATGTTTACAAATATATTTCAGAGACAATATAGGCTGCTTTTAGATAACGAATCAGCTTATTGGCCTGTATTTGAAATATTACAAATGTATATAAGTTATCAAAATGTTACATTTAGTACTTAAAAAAATCTTCTCTGTTTGAAAAAGCATTAACGTAAAGAACTTATATGGTGTATGCGGACGAACAGCATTTTAATTTTAACTTGAAAAAGGCAATAGCCAATGTCTCGATAAAATAGCATGCTTTAGCAATATTTAAAAAGCATGGTCCTCTTGCTCACCGAGGCGCTAAGCGGCTTAAGCTTGCTGCTTGCTGCTCGCTGCTCGCTGCTCACTGTGCTCAGCTTAATCGTGCAATACTACATTACATCACATCTGCAACTGTGATGACGTCAGCTGGTTTGATATATAGATACATATTACCTACCATGAAGGCAAAAGGCACGAAGGGAAACTAACAGGAGAGGTTTTGACAATTATCAAAAGAATTTACACAACTATTTTTGCAACTGATCATTCTTTTTACAGAACATTCATAGGATTTCAAAACTATTTTTTGAACGAGCAAAAAAGTAAAGCTATTTTTTTTAACATATAAATTCAAAATTTAAATGGGTATTTTGTTTAACAATCTTAATATTCATGGCCAGAATAAGTCTTATATCTTCCGTTTTTAAATCAGCCACGTTTATTGTTTTGCCTTGGACAATATGATTATTGCTTGTGCATATTTTTGTATATTGTAAATACATGCATTTCGTTATCACGAAGTATTATCAGTCGTATTTATATTAAGAAATCTCATAACTTTTGTATATATCGGACTTGTAAAAATATTGTTTACACTTTCACAAAGCATTGTTTTGTTCAATAGCAAAACGGATGAATATGTCACTTAAACTGATAATGTCATCATTTACAATTTCTAGGTTTAATTTAAGATAAGTAGATTTCGAAAATGGATCGAATAGATGTGATGATGTTAAGTGTGGACAAATATTGTAAATAGTTTGTAACTATAGTGAATGCTTGGTATAAATGTGATTATTTTCTACTTTTCTACCTTTTTGTATGGAGATGAATAAATCATTGAACACTGAATTGTGTTTCGTTGCCTTGACAACACAACGTGAACAATACCTGAAGAATGCCAGATACATGTTCCACAGACTCTTTCTCTTCCTACCCCGTCTCCCTCGCTCTCTCTCTCTCTGTCTCTCTCTCTCCTGTTTCTCCTTCTCTCTTTATAGTCGTCTTATCTCTCTCTCACACTCTCTCTCACTCTCTCTCTCACTCTCTCTCCTGTTTCCCCTTCTCTCTTTATAGACGTCTTATCTCTCTCACTCTCTCTCTCCCCTCTCTCTCTCCTGTTTCTCCTTCTCTCTTTATAGACGTCTTATCTCTCTCTCACTCTCTCTCTCCCCTCTCTCTCCTGTTTCTCCTCTCTTTATAGTCGTCTTATCTCTCTCCCACTCTCTCTCTCACTCTCTCTCTCCCCTCTCTCTCTCCTGTTTCCCTTCTCTCTTTATAGACGTCTTATCTCTCTCTCACTCTCTCTCTCACTCTCTCTCTCCCCTCTCTCTCCCCCTTCCACTTCTCTCTTTATTGACGTCTTTTTTTTCTCTCTCTCCCCCCTCTGTCGCCTGTTTCTCCTTCTCTCTTTATAGTCGTCTTATCTCTCTCTCACTCTCTCTCTCACTCTCTCTCTCCCCTCTCTCTCCTGTTTCCCCTTCTCTCTTTATAGACGTCTTATCTCTCTCTCACTCTCTCTCTCCTCTCTCTCTCCTGTTTCTCCTCTCTTTATAGTCGACTTATCTCTCTCTCACTCTCTCTCTCTCACCCTCTCTCCCCTCTCTATCCTGTTTCCCCTTCTCTCTTTATAGACGTCTTATCTCTCACTCACTCTCTCTCACTCTCTCTCTCTCTCCTGTTTCTCCTCTCTTTATAGACGTCTTATCTCTCTCTCACTCTCTCTCTCCCCTCTCTCTCCTGTTTCCCCTTCTCTCTTTATAGACGTCTTATCTCTCTCTCACTCTCTCTCTCCCCTCTCTCTCTCCTGTTTCTCCTTCTCTCTTTATAGTCGTCTTATCTCTCTGTCACTATCTCTCTCACTTTCTCTCTCTCCCCTTTCTCTCCTGTTTCCCCTTCTCTCTTTATAGACGTCTTATCTCTCACTCACTCTCTCTCACTCTCTCTCTCTCTCTCTCCTGTTTCTCCTCTCTTTATAGTCGTCTTGTCTCTCTCTCACTCTCTCTCTCCCCTCTCTCTCCTGTTTCCCCTTCTCTCTTTATAGACGTCTTATCTCTCTCTCACTCTCTCTCTCCCCTCTCTCTCTCTCCTGTTTCTCCTTCTCTCTTTATAGTCGTCTTATCTCTCTGTCACTATCTCTCTCTCTCTCTCTCTCTCTTTGTCTCTCTCTCTTTCTCTCCTTCTAAATCGGTCAGTCTGTTTTGCACCCTTATGCTACACGAGACATATCCGCAGGGAAGAATAGAATATGTCAGTCAGCAATATTCCACCACTACCACGGCGGGCTGTAAACAATCAATGCATTGATGGACATAACCAACGCCCAACGCCATCGGTGTACAATGACACGTTATCAGTCAAGGCCACCAGTCGCTCTAGTCGCTTTCAGGGACAAGCATTTAATATTCGCGGGGATGGCCAGTGATCGATTATTTCAGATATACGCATAAGACGAAATATATTTTATTTCCGGGAACAGGTTATTATGACAAAAATCCCCATCCGGATTATCAAATGCTGTGTCTCTTTCGAGAAGACATTTCATAAAGGGCACCAGCTCTAACCCAGAACCCAAACGTGTGTCCACTCTCCAACCGACCGGATTTGATTCCATAGTTCTAGTGATCTCTTTGTAATTTGGAAAAAAAACGGTAGGGAAGTTGAACTCCGAAACAATTCACACATAGGAACTATGGATCGTGTTCACTGCTGCTGTGGACCTGTGAAGATCCGGGTAGAGAATAGGTTTTCAGAAACCCATGTTTGCCGTAATGGGCGATTAGGCTTTTCGTAAGAAGCGACTAACGGGATCGGGTGGTCTGACTCCTAGACTTGGTTGATGCGTGTCATTGTATCCCAATTGCGTAGATGAATGCTCATGGTGTTAATCACTGGATTGTCTGGTGGAAACTCCGTTATTTACAGACCGCGGTATAATAGCTGAAATATTGCTGGGTGCGGCGTTTAACAACAAACAAAACACAAATAAACATTCCTGTTGTGCTCTGTCGAAATATTGCTGAACCTTTGCTTCAAAGCGGTGCAAATTGCCATCGTGAGATGAACGTCTTAGTAAAACGCACATAAAATCCTTGAACACGTTATCTTCACGAAACAATGGTTACCAGTCGCTATTCAGCTTGGTTGATGCATGTCATTGACCCCAATTGCGAGAGTTCAGCGCCACCTTGTTGTCTTACGTGACATGACAATGAACAGTTTTCCTTTGTACAACTACAACTATCAAGCTCCCAAATGTCATATTTGTATCTACGATATTAAATAGAAATATATCGACTTTATTAGGTACAAAAATTACCTGTGCTTTTTTCTTTGGAGAGTGTATGTGACCAAGAAACGGACAGTAATATTTACGTGTCGCCGTTTCTTCAACATTCCCTTTTCTAATTATGTTGACAGTATGTGGCATTCGCGTTGTCTTGGATGGATTACGTGTTGTAAACAAAGCGACAAAACCCTTCCATATCCAATATAAATCTCTGCATAAAGCAGAGTTAATTGTACGATTCCGACTATATCATGAGCATGTGTTTAGGAAATGATACCAGGTGTTCGCGAAAAGGTGAGCGTATCCTGCCCTACCGGTGACACCCATCACAAACACAGGCAAAGGCAAGTAAATTGTTTACCTGAAAAAAACACGGGTGCATATGGTAGAAGTCGAAATAACGAATTGCATAGGACAGAATTTTGGTCACTGATACGTGGAATTTGTCTACCATATGTCTACCATAAAACTTGTTGAAAGCTTTACGGAGGCCTTGAATGTTGTAACCTGGATCAAACAACGTCTGAGCAAGAGTCGTATGACGCAAATTTGAGCATGTTGTAAACACTATTCGCAGAAATCTACCGCGCCAAACTCAGAGCAGTGATCTTACACGCTAGAACTGGCCAAATGATGAGACACCATGGTCCGAGTGCTCTAGCCTATTTAAACCGTAGCTAACAAAAACCTCATCGCTTAAAATGTTTAAACAACATTGTTTTGACAATCGTATGTAAAATGATAGACGTGAAATATGTTATCCGTGCCTTTGGCACGTACATCTCGCTCTTTTAATGCTCAGGTTATGAAATGCAAGTCTCGGAGAAAATATACAATTTATGCAGGACCAACTCGAACACATATATAAATCACATAAACATTGTTTGCAATGATGATGGGCAAGCATGAACCTGATCAAGAAAAACATTTAACAAAGAGCTACCAAGTAACACAGTGTGTTGACATGTATGATAGTTTTAGGATGTTTAGTAATTTATTGTGTTTTATGGTAGTGCTGTGTTCAGATCTGTAAATATGTATAAACAATAGCACTGATCTGATAATAATGTCCACACGTGCAAGAGCATTGTGTAAGGAAGCTTATTGTACATTTAGAATAATTTCCATATTTATAGGAACTTTGATGTCATTGTAGCCCTGGTCATGTAGTCGTGGTAGATTAAAGTGTCACCTGCACCTAGAGGCCATACTTCTGGTATGTTTACTTATCACCACATGTAAATATATATTATTATTATGTTTATCTATTGATCACGTTTTACACCACCTAAGAAGTATTTTGATTTGATGTATGCATATACTATATGTATGTATAATGTAATTCTAATGATGTATCATGTTCTCATTTTAATTGTCATAATTTACAAGATTCTTATTGAGTGTTATTGTGCGTGAAAGAAGGGTATGCCACTCGTCATCTAATAAAACGAATCACACCCGTAGCCGTGTTTTTGACATCATTTATTGATGCACACACATATTCTGCTACAATTGGTCTACCACCTGCTCCACCTACATTAGATCATTCTGACCCACTCTTGTATAATAACAAGATCCTTATTAGGACTTGTGGTAATGTGAACTCCTCAAACCCCAGAATCCCCCCCTCCCCCCATTGCCCCTCATATTGCCTACTTATATAATTACTGTAGATGTCTTAATGAGTTGCTAATTACCATTATTTGATGCCAATAATACGACCCCCGTTCTGACGAAGAGTGTGTCTTGTTATAATATCTGGTATACATTCCCTCTTATTTCTATGACTTATTGATTTATCTTCCCTTTAATTATCTAAATATGTATTACACTTTCATGCCTATAATACTGAGAGCAATGTATCTTCGGTTAATGAAGACGAGGATGATAGTATGGATGTATGGATAGTATTTGACACACACACACACAGACACACAGACAGACACAGACAGACACAGACACACACACACACACACATACACACATTGATACCTTTCTGTATTTCTCCTCTTTCCATTCTGTCATATAACATATTTCTAAAACAATTAAAAGAAATTACAAAAGCGCGAACAAGATGAAAACAGTTGGAATGCTTATAATATCAAACACAGCAATTCGCACATTTTTAAAGGAGATTTATGTATACATACTTTCTGTACATATAGTGGTGTAGAATGTCTCTTGAAGAATGTCATATGGATGACTTTAAACTCTATGATAACGACCGTATTACAACTTGTATTCAGATACAAGCAGTGTGGTTTAGGTCATCCCTGCTGCTGGTGGTGGTGGTGATCTATGGGCGGATCAATGGCGTCACCAGAAGACACATTGCGCATGACTTAGAGCACGATGTGAGGATGAGGCACGGCTTCAGTGACCAGTTGTTTGTTCAATGAGTATGAAGTTTATGTTTGAAATAGGAGTTCCTCTGAGCCTAGTCACAGATGTGTCTCTACTACTTGGGGCTTGTTTCACCCATCTCATTTACACCTGCAGAGTGGAAGATTTCAGGAAAGGGTTAAACGCATACTACACGACATTGGCCATCATCAAA